GCTGACAGAGGATATGTTGTATGTTTTGGTAGATGAGACAATGGTGTTTTCATTGTTTTTAACCCATGAAGTGTTCAAATGTTGACTGCCACTAGTGTTGGGAACCCTGTTGGGATTAAACACATGGCGTGTCGACCATCTTAGTTTACTGTTGTTGATCTTTAGCGGGTATTCTTTTTCTTAAAACACAACATAATTGGCGACGAGGGTAAACCAAAGCTTCTGTGACTGTGGTGGTGGTCAAGGGATCTCATCAAACTAATCTTTTAGGTCGTGATGTTATAATGTCGTTATCTATGATTGAGATAAAACAGGTCACGGAACACAACTTAAAGCTGGAGGAGGTGCTTAATCAACACAAACAAGTGTTCGACGAGGGACGAGGGACACTGAAAGACATGCTAAAATCCTTGTAGATCCGGACACACAACCAAAGTTCTTCAAGCCCAGGTCCTTACCTTATGCTTACTATTCAAAGGTGGACAAGGAGTTAGACAGGCTCCTGGAAGAGGAAGTGATTGAGCCAGTAAAGTTCTCTGACTGGGCTGCAGCAATCGTACCCGTGATTAAACCAGATGGTGAGGTCAGAATCTGTGGTGATTTTAAAGTGACGGTCAATCAAGCTGCGAAGCTTGAGCAGTACCCATTGCCTACAATGGAAGATTTGCGTTTCAAGCTGGCCGGTGGATCACGGTTCACCAAGCTGGATCTCAGCCATGCTTACTTCCAATTGATGCTCGACGAGGAGTCAAAAGTGTACACAACAATCAACACACACTGTGGGTTGTTTCAGTACAACCGATTACCATTTGGGATCAGTTCGGCAACTGCCATTTTTCAGAGAACCATTGAGTCATTGCTACAAGGCATTGAAAACACAGCAGTCTACATCGACGACATTATCTTGACAGGAAAGAACGACAAAGAGCACATGGATACACTGGATCAGGTATTGAAGGGACTAGAAGATGCTGGCCTCAGGTTGAAAAGGTCCAAGTGCATTTTCATGGCAGAAGAAGTGACCTGCCTTGGTCACCGTATTGACAAGGCGGGAATCCATCCTGTACCAGACAAGGTAGAGGCCATAGCCAATGCTAGGAGGCCCACTAACGTGGGTGAACTGAAGTCTTTTTTGGGACTTCTCAATTATTATGGCAAATTTTTGCCAGACCTTTCAACCAGATTGGCAACCCTGCACAAGCTACTCCGTAAGGAACAAAAGTGGAGTTGGCGTAAGGAACAGCAACAAAGTTTCGATGATGTCAAGAAACTTATCCTCTCTGCGGATTTCCTTGCTCACTATGATCCAAGGAAGGAGTTGTTATTGCAGTGTGACGCATCTCCATATGGCGTGGGAGCCGTGCTATCTGTGAAAGAGCCCAACGGAATCGAGCGTCCAGTGGGGTTCGCCTCAAGATCTCTGACCGACGAGGAGAGGAATTACTCGCAGCTTGATCGAGAAGGACTAGCAATAATATTTGGATTGAAAAAGTTCCACAAGTATTTGTTCGGAAGGTCCTTTACCATTGTGACAGATCATAATACCTATCACATCCTCACTAAGAGTCCAGCGATGGGCCTTGTTACTGCGAGGCTATGAGTACCATATTGTGTATCGCCCAGGCCAAAGCAACGGCAATGCTGATTGTCTTAGCCGACTTCCACTTCCTGGTCCTAAAAAGCCAAAAGTTGAAGAAAAGAGAGTCTTACTTATTGAAGAACTAGACCATTCAACAGTGACAGCATCGCAAGTACAACAGTGGACATCAAGGGATACAGTTCTTGCAAATAGAGAGTATGTTCTGAGGAGATGGCCAGAAGATGAGAACGATCTCGTGACTGCACCTTACAGAGTCCGAAAACATGAACTTAGTGTTGAAGATGGAGTTCTCCTTTGGGGAGCAAGGGTAATAGTTCCTCCGCAAGGAAGAGAACTAGTCATCGAGGAATTACATGTGGCCCACCCAGGAATTAACAGGATGAAAGCGCTAGCTAGAAGCTACGTCTGGTGGCCAAAAATGGAGCATGACATTGAGCAGGCAGTAAAGAAGTGTGATACATGTCAGCTGAACAGGAACTCTCCATCAACCGCACCACTTCATCCATGGGAACAACCAGAGAAACCTTGGTCACGCGTGCATATAGATTACGCAGGTCCTTTTATGGGATATATGATATTAATACAAGTAGATGCTACTACCAAGTGGATCGAAGCAACAGTGATGCCAAGCACAAAAGCTGAGGCTACAGTTAAACAGCTTAGAGAGACATTTGCCCGACATGGAATACCAGAAGTTCTAGTGAGTGATAATGCAAGTATATTTAGAGGAGAAGTGTTCGAAGAATTCATGAGGAAGAATGGCATTATTCATGTAACATCTGCACCGTATCATCCCTCAAGTAATGGTCTTGCAGAAAGGGCAGTGCAAACTGTGAAGGCAGGATTAAAGAAGACACCTGGGGATACCATTCGCACCAAGCTCAGCCGATTCTTGTTCCAATACAGAATGACACCTTCTGGTGCTACCGGTAAATCACCTTCAGAATTACTCAATCATCGCAAGATGAGGTCACTGCTTGACCTACTTCACCCAAATCTTCAGGGAAAAGTACACAAGAAACAAATGGAACTGAAAGCTAAGCATGATGGTGGTAAAGTGTTGCGAAGCTATCAGGTTGGTGAGACAGTATCGGTGAAAAACTTTGCAAATGGAGCCAAATGGTTACCTGGAACCATCGACCGAGTAACAGGCCCAGTCTCGTATGAAATCAGTCTTATTGATGGCCGTATTGTTAGACGACATGTAGACCATATCATCACACGGCAGCTTCCAAGTATACCTTCGGCAATGTTTCCTCACAACAGCACACCAAGTGTTGCTGCACCCACAGAACCACAGATCCTTCAGGAGCAAACACCAGTAAGTACTCCTTTACAGCCAGCTACACTACAGGAGAGTGTGACAGAAGACATCTTGCTGAGTCAACCGGAATCAAGAAAAGAGCACAGCACACAGATTGAATCAGCAACCAAGCCTACTGTTGCAGAACAGTCACCTCCAGTCAGAAGAAGCAACAGAGAAACCAAATTACCTACGCATCTTCAGGATTATCAACTGAACTATGTTACACTATGAACACTAGGACATTATAGTAAACGTTTGAGTTAAGAATACAGAAACCTTTAGTCATTATCTTTGTAATTGATAGCACATTGTTTGTAATGACATTTTAAAGTGTATGTTCAATCTTAAGGGGGAAGGGAATGTTGGGAACCCTGTGTAGCCAAGTTTACTGTTGTTGATCTTTAGCGGGTATTCGTTTTCTTAAAACACAACAACTAGCATCACAGGACCAAGACAATGCATCTTTTTCAGTGAGTGTTTGGTTTTTACACACAGWAATGGTCGGAGGAGCTTGAAAAATAATTTAAAAGCATTAAAAGGTTAAAATTTT